TGCAGAGAAAATATTTATTTTGAAGGATTTAAATGTTTTTTTGATAATTTTGACTCTTTTTGGCCTTGCAGATGTGCACTTAAAATCTGAATGGACAAACACAAAGCGAATTATTAAATTAATATCAAAATGGTATACATTACATCAAGCAACATTTTTTTGTGCAGGCGACTTTGCTTTCAACTAAGGTATGGTTAATTCTCACGTACCAGAGTATGGTTAAAATTATGGTTATGGTATGGCTAGAATTCTCACGTACCAAAGAGGCATTGTCGACTTCATGCAGTGACGGAGAATGAAAGTGTATGGACGAAAACGTTCTGTTTTCCTCAGATGAAGGACGCTGTGTCAAAGCAATACCTGACTGCTCTGCAGACTGGTATCTTGCAGAGTTCAGTGCAGTATTTACTTGCTCTGCATATTTGTATTTAGCACAGTTCAGTGCCGTAATTCCATGCTCTGTAGTTTGGTATTCGGCTGATTTCAGAGTAATACTTTCGTGCTCTGCAGATTTGTCGGCTGCAGAATTGTGCCTCTGTGAAGGCGAGATTCGTCCAGGATTTATTACTTCATGGCCAACATCATTATCGTGCTGAGCGAACGGGTAACCGGTCGTGACGTAGTGGTACACGTTCTCGGTCAGGGGATTAACTGTGAAAAATCAGATTTTTAAGAAACAATAATTTGTCACAAATAAAATGGCAAGAATGTAGCGAACCTAGAAATTACGACTTTTAAATAAATATATCCTTTTTCCTCTGACTTGGCAACACCGTTAGGAAGTTTACTTCGCGTTCTAGTTTGTCCCTTAGTCAGTATAGCCCAGCCGATCCACAACAGCAGGTTAGTTAAGACTTAGGTCTCTAAGATAAGTTTCTTTGTTTATATGCGTAACTGGTTATATTGCACTATTATTTGCCGCATCATGATTACTTATAAGACATACTTCTCGAACAGGTTCCCACGTTGCCAAGGGTATTATTTCTATTATTTCTATTATTACTGTTATCATTCCCTATTCTTTGCCGTATCAAATAAATTCACTTGATCCAGTTTGATTCATTTCCGATCTCGTAATTTCCTCACTGTGCGGGTAACTTACGGCTGTTACCCCACAAGAACAAATTTAGGCAAAACAGAATCACGATGAATCTAAACAACGGTTTTTTCTGATATATTTTATTTAAAAAAGCAGTCAATCGAAAATATCAACCATGCCTTTAATGAATGAAGGCTTACATAAAATACTACCAGTAACCGTAATAGGAAGTTATCATTATCACGTAAGCTAAGCGCAATACTTTTGTGCTCCTCATGGGGACGTTGAGTGAATTGGTCGTCAGCGTGGCTATTCTTGTTACCGCTGATGTGGTCTGCGTGGCCGTTGAATGAACGTCCTGGGCGAAGAAGGATAAAAATGCTCGTATAAGATGGCAAAATATTTTTTTTTTGTTATTATTTAGCCCAGATAATTTTGGAAATGAAGATTTCAGGACTTATTTTCTAGTTCAGTCAAGGAAAAACAAAATTTTCTTCGATCTCATGTTCAGAACAAAGAAACCCGGGATTTTGAGGGTGTGCTTTCCTAGAAGGAAACTGGCACAGCTGTAAAACAATACTATTATGAGATGAAATGAAAAACAGATAAAATGGCAGTAGAATGCTGTCAAACTTCCAAGAGCAAAGATGACACAGAGTTACGGTAATACTGGGACGAGATTTTATTCTCAAAATTCTTCGAGAGCGTAAGAATCTTTGGAGAAGACGAGAAGGATAATTTCCTTGATTTCGTGACACGTATAAAATGTAACAAACTTTAACGTAAAGATATGCAAAATCATCAATTTGACACGTCTCTAAGAAATAGTAGAGGAAGAGGTTGAAAAGCTGCTTCTCAAATAAATTCGTAAATAAATACTCAATTAAAGCATAGTATTTTTCATAAAGCAAAATCAGTACAAATAGTTTTTCTTCCAGCAAGAAGTATGAATTATGTAGGTAAGAGATTTATTTCGATCATACTTCTATGAAAGAAGCAGAGGAGCGAGAAGGTCAGTAATAAAGTGCTAGCTGACAAAATGATTGCAATCCTACTTCTGTGGAAGAAGTTGCAGAGCGAGAAAGTCAGCAATAAGGTGCTTGCTGATA